TGCCTGTGGAGAAAGCAACAAATTAGGCAGCTAATCAGTAACGCTAAAAAAATAAACCAGAGATACACTGATTAAATTGCTCATCATCAAGCTATTACAGTCCTGTTTTTCCTATCTATATCCTTATCAGCAAATGTGAATGTAAAAATCACTTTCAGTTGCCTGCAGACACACCATTAATTAGGATCAATTAAAAGTTCTCTCCAACCAGAAAATGCTTCAAAACCTTGATTCCTTAGTAGTAATAGCCTTATGAAGAAACTAGTGTCATGTGGTTATATGTCCATGTCAGAGAAATATCATAATGCTAATTACAAGAAATCTTTAGAATATTCTCCAAAGTCAAATACAATGTTCACTGCTGTCAAAAGTTTGCTTCTTCTATGTTCTCAAGGAGATGGAATTCTATTAGTGCCAGACACACCTTGCCCCTTCCATAGGATTCCTAAAGGAGCTGTTCCTTTTTTTTTTTTTTTAAGTTTTATTTATCTATTTTGAGAGAGACAGAGACAGCACAAGTAGGGAAGGGTTAGAGAGATAGAGAGTGAGAGAATCGCAAGCAGCCTCTGCGCAGTCAGCATAGAGCCCAATGCGGAGCTTGAACCCACAGATCTGCGAGATCATGACCTGAACAGAAACTAAGAGTCAGATGTTTAATCAACTGAGCCACCCAGATGCCCCAAGGAGCTCTACTGTAAACACCAGTAGTCTAGGGTGTTCTTACTATATGTAAAAATACTAAAGGAAGCAGATGAGGGAGGCAAGAAGCCCTGTCTGAGAAAGGTGGTGAGCAGTCACAATGCCCCTTCGGAACTGGATCTTTTTATATATATATATATATAATCTTCTTTAATGCTTATTTATTTTTGAGAGTCAGAGAGAGAGTGCGAGTGGGGGAGGAGCAGACAAAGGGGAAAATACAGAATCTGAAGCAGGCTCCAGGTTCTGAGCTGTCAGCACAGAGCCTGACATGGGGCTCAAACTCATGGACTGAGAGATCATGACTTGAGCCGAAGTCAGACGCTCAACCAGCTGAGCCACCCAGAGCTTGGAGCCTACTTTCGGATTCTGTGTCTCCCTTTCTCTCTGTCCCTCCCCTGCTCGTGCTCCGTCTCTCTCTCAAGAATAAACATTAAAAAAATTAAAAAAAAAAAAAAAGATATTCTTCCAAACAGGGAAGTGAGGAAAAGCATGCGACATAGAACAGAACCTAGGAGCAAAGCAGTAAGGCATGAAAGAGCAGGGTAAGTTTGTACCTGGAACGTGTGGTCAGTGCTCAGGACGTGAAGCAGGCTGTGACCATATCACCAGTGGCCTTATATGGTGGGCTAACAGGTTGGGATTTCACAAGTAGGTGTGGGTATGCTTAGACTGGTGTTTCCAGAAGATCAATCTGGGAGCCAAGTGTGGAAGATGAATCTCAGGGAAGGAACCCCATTCTTAGGGACTATTACATCAAGCTAAGAGAGAAAATGATGACAGCTTGGTCTGTATAGCACTAGGATGGAGAAAGGGAAATACATCCAAAAGACATTTGGGGGTCAAATTAGTCAAATGACTATAAGGGAAAGAAAGTAATTCTTCTAGCTGAAACTGGAAAAAAGTTAGTAAGCATCAGTGTCATAGAATACAAAAGAAGACAAAATCAGGCAAAAATATAAAATTTAAAAAATTTTAAAACTTCTTTATAAATAGTTGATTGTTTTCTACCCATGAAGAGGCTATTTTAAGGGAAAAAATTATGTATTCCATTTTGTAAAAAATAAAATTTACCCTAATGGCTTTTCTGTTTATAAATTTTACCCTAATGGATTTTGATGTGCTGGAGTAAATAATTACCAATTGTGCCAAAATTTTTTGGAAAATTTTTCAATGGAAGAAATGCTTAATCTGTATATCTGAGTTGCTTATGCATAAGCTCTCCTATAGCATTTTATATATATATATATATATATATATATATATATATATATATTAGCATTTATATATTAATTTCTCTCCACACACACACACACACACACACACACACACACACTCAGAAATCGATTTAAAACAAACATGACATCATCTGCAGGAAGTACCAAGACATTTTCTATTAGCTTTTAATGTTGGGAAAACAAAATGAGAAGGTGACATTGTTTCACAGCTTCTTTTTTTCTTTTTTGAGGAAAAACTATACCTTTTTTTTTTTAAGCTGAACCACTAGGAACATATATTACAATCTTGAAACACCAAATATTGGCTATGTTATCATTACAAATAATAAATTGATGAAAAAAAATAATGAAATGATAAAGGGCAGAATACTGCTTACTGCAACGGCCACAGGCAAAAGTGTTATTTGGTAATGAGGGGGTGGCTGTCCATCTTTTGCTTTAAAGGAATCACAGCTCACCCGAGTTGCTTACTTTTTCTCCTTCAGCCTTCCTGTTGCCAAGGGATTGTCTCAATAGGGCTCTGTTATTTCAGGGGGCTAAATAAGCAATACTGAGTTTAGGCTTTCCTTCCTTCTCTTCTATAAAAACCAGGTTTTTCCAAATTCAGTACCTAATAACTCTCTTAATTAAGAAGGCAACAGTTTCTCCTTCAATGTTCACTCCTGGATACTGGTACATAGTGCAATCAAAACCCCCTTTCCCTTCAAGGGAAAGTGTTACGGCAAGATTGTTCAGTTGTTCTGCTGCAGATAGGCTCATACCCAGTGTAACTGCTTCCCATACCCAGTGTAACATCCCTTCTCTTGTTTCTGCAGGGTCTCTTAGCTGAAAGATGTAATACGTATTTCAAGAAATGCATATCCACATCTTGATGGCCAGAAATAGATACCCACGAGGAACTGTTCAAAGTTCTTACCCAAACTACCTCTCCTACCTCCGCACCTTAAATCAACTTCATATATATAAAACAAAACATTGTATATAAAACAAAACCAAGCAAAACAAAGACCCAGAAAGCTTTTTTCCCTTCTAAATTAGCGACCTCATGGACTTTGTTTTACAGCTTATAGAAAATGATTTGGTGATCCTTCTGGTAAACAGGAGGTTGGCAACAACAGAAACATCTCTGCTTGTACTCCACCAGATCATAGGCAGGTTAGGGGAACCTAGCAACCTGTTTGTACCTGTATACTAAGAAGAATCTTGTACCTTAAAGCCTCTGGCTTGGTATAAGGGAGATCCCTAGTGCCAGTGCATGCGAAATTTAGGTTACCAAAAATTCTTCTGTGCTATCTCAGACCCAAATTTTAGCACCAGTTTTTTCCATTTCACTTTCCAGGGTTGAAACACAAAGGAACCAATGTGTAGAGGCAAGTGACACATGCCTCAAACTTGTCTGCTATCCTTAATTTCTTCATAAACTCCAAAGACCAAAATTCATTTTGCTTTTTAAATGGATTCCTGCTGGGGCACTGGGTGGCTCAGTCGGTTAAGCCTCCCGGATCGGCTCAGGTCACCATCTGAGGATTCATGGATTCGAGTCCCATGTCGGGTTCTATGCTGACAGTTTGGAGCCTGGAGCCTGCTTCAGATTCTGTGTCTCCCTCTTGCTCTCTGCCCCACCTCCACTCATGCTCTGTATCTCTCAAAAATAAAATAAACATTAAAAAAAATTAAATGGATTACTGCTGTCAGCCTTGATGGCCAATTACAAAGACTTCAATTTCCCAGTGGATAAGAGATCTTCTCAGTCATGGTTGGGATGAGGTGCATGTGGTCATCCACATACTTGGTCACACAAGTCTCCAGCTGCCACTTCACCTGAAACCCTCTATTTCCTGCATCTATTGAATCTTTGGCTTTGTCACTGCAGTGCATGGTGCACTGGGCCAGGCAGCCCTGGAATTTCTTCAACTGGGTTTGAGCCAGAGGCGCATGGCAGCGCTCAATGCACCGGTGCACCTGCCGCATGGCCTCCCGACTATCCTCACAACAGCTGTACCAGAACATGAGCATCTTCTGGATGTCCTCTCTCTCCAGACTCTTCACCGCGGAGTCTACTGCCTTCTGCACCTGGAACTGCTGCAGGTCTGCCATGGTGACCCTGCACTGCATCCCTCCAGAGGGTGCCCAGATGGACTCCGGCACTCGGGCCTGCCTGTTTCATAGTTTCTTTTTTTTTTTTTTTTTAATTTTTTTAACTTTTTTTATTTATTTTTGAGACAGGGAGGGACAGAGCATGAACGGGGGAGGGTCAGAGAGAGAGGGAGACACAGAATCTGAAACAGGCTCCAGGCTCTGAGCTGTCAGCGCAGAGCCCGACATGGGGCTTGATCTCACGGACTGCGAGATCATGACCTGAGCCGAAGTTGGCCGCTTAACCGACTGAGCCACCCAGGTGCCCCTGTTTCACAGTTTCTAATACAGGTAGCATCTGTGGGAGAGGCAGCATCAGAGGTGCCTAAAAATAAGGGTGATGCAGAGAAAGTAGGCCTTCTCCCCTGCTGTAGATACTCTGGTGTGTGGCCCAAATTCCTCTTTCGGGACTGAGGTGCTCATTCACCCAGAATGAGGGAGTGTTGGTGGCTGACAGTATCCAGCCGAATTATTTTTCTGCCCCCTTCACAGGGGCAGCCCACATGTATTGGCTGATCATTTGGGGTTGGGTAGGTATAAAGTCCCAAGGGGGTCTCTGAGGAGCCATCCAGCCCTGGAGCTCCTACAGGATGGGTTGCACACGTGTGGCAGCTTCTTCTCCCTCCGCCCAGCCCTGCTCCTGTCACTCTCACAGGGGATGTTCCTAAAGGCACTCCCCAATAAACTTCTTGCAAAGAAATGTCAGAGTCCTTTTCCCAGGAATCTCAATGTACAGCACGTACCAGGACCACAAAAAGCCTTTCATGAGCACTCATTACAGAGAATGAGAGTGTCACTATAAATGTACGTATTAAATGTACTGGGTCCCAAGCAAAATGAGCCATACTCCATACTCACATTCTAGCTTATGTTCAAAAACTGACAACACAGAGATATTGTAAACAGCACACAAGTCATCTAAAGAACTTAGGTATAAAGTTATTTTACTGAAAGAATCATAACAAGGACAAATAAAAACATGTTAAAATCAAGAACAGGAGTTGAGTCCAGATGACCAACAGTTCCTCATCTGTTGGATACTATAGGCCATAACTTCTGTTTGTTTTGTTTTCTCTGGTTGTTTGCCTCCCCTGAAAAGCTGCCTGACCTTCCCTAAGGCTCCATAACTGGAGGAAGCATGGGCGGGGGCGGGCTGTAATCAGACATCAAAAGATGCCTGTGTCCCCACTGCCACCTAATGGGTTCTTTGAGCATTGAGGCCTCCATTGTACAGTTCTTTGCAACTGCTGACACTATTATCAATAAAATGGTTAAATGTGACCGTATCAAACTATGTGCATTAGTTTTCATGGGGCAAAAATCTGGGGCTTATTTTGGTTTCTGGAAAGAAGTTGTGTTCACTGTCTCCTTTTTGCTCTTTACATTTGGGTACATATATCCCCAGCTACTCAGGTTGTCTGGTGTAAGTATCCTAAAAAAAAAAAAAAAAAAAAAAAAAAAAAGGTTGCTCTATTATGCTCTATTATTCATTGTACAATAATAGTGATATGGAATGTTCCAGGCTGTTTCTGCAATAACTAAGTTATTTTCTAAGTTAAATAAATAGTCAACATGAACATGGGGGTGGGAAACACTCAGATAAAGAGGGTATTTTCAAGGGCTGTGATGCAGATGAATCCAATTAACTCCGAGTTTAAAAGACCATCTTAAGACTACCTCTGGAGGCTGTTATATGAGAAAACCAGATAGGGCCAAAAAAAAAAAATGAAAAAAGTTCCTATCACCACATCAGAGGGCAAGGCCCATTGGACTCTCTCCTGCATGTGGGGAAGTCAAAGTAATTCATTCTCATGCTTTCCTTCCTGGCCTTCAAAGAGCTCCTGTGACTGCTTCAGCCTCCACTGCCCACATCTTCCTGCTAGACCTTGACCCATAGGCTTTCTATGGCCTTTTGTTTCTGACAATCACATAAGCTTTTGTAATCTCTCATATTACTTCTAAGCTTGTTAAACTACTTCTAGCTCCTAGAGATCCTCTCAATCTGCTGAGATTCCCCCACCATTCCCTAAACACACACACACACACACACACACACACACACACACACACACACAAAGATCACCTAAAACCATACTAGCTAGTTTACAAATACTTTTCTCTTTTTATTTTGAAAAATTTGAAACATACAGAAAAGTTGAAAGATTAGTACAATGAAGTCACATATCCTCCACAATAACCATTAACATCTTAACATCTAATGCATTTTAATTCTTTCTTCCTCTCTCTCTCTATATATATATATTCATACACGTATACATATATGTGTGTACACACACACACACACACACACACACACACACACACAGTAGTCCCCCCTTATCTGCAGTTTCACTTTCCACGGTTTCAGTTACCCATGGTCAACTGCAGTCTACAAGCAGATAATCCTCTTCTGATGTACAGTCATAAAGTCAATAGAAACCTGACACTATGTCACAACACCTACGTCATTCACCTCACTTCATCTCATTGCATAGGCATTTTATCATCTCACATCATCACAAGAAGGGTGAGTACAGTACAAGAAGATATTTTGAGAGAGAGAGAGACCACAGTCACATAACTTTTGTTACAGTATATTGTTATAATATTGTTATAATTGTTCTATTTTATTATTTATTATTGTTAATCTCTTACTGTGCCTCATTTATAAATTAAACCTTATTATAAGTATGTTATGTATGGGAAAAAACACAGTATATATGGGGTTTGGCATTATTTATGGTTTCAGGCATCCTCTAGGGGTCTTGGAACATATTGCCCGTGGATAAGTGGCTACTGCTGTGTAAATACACACAAATATACATATATTCATGCACACACCCACATGATTTTATGAAATTCCATACAATTTTTTTTTTGCTGAACCATTTAAAGATAAATTACAGATGTTATGGGTATTTCATCCCTAAATATCTGAATGGGTCATTTTCCTAAGTAACCAAAGTAAATTTCACACTCAGTTAATAGTAATTCAATATCATCTAATACCCAGTCCATATTCAAATTTCCCAAAGTACTCTAAAATTTCTGTTATAGCTTTTTCAAACCAAGACCCAATCAAGATTTATCCATTGCATTTATTGTTAGGTCCTTTGTATCTTAATCTAGAACAGTTCCACACTCTTTTTAACTACACTGACCTTTTGAAGAATTTAGGCGTTTTCTTATGGAATGTCTCACATTCTGGATCTGATTCTTCCATCAGGGTCATTTTATCTGTTCCTCTAACTCCATATTTCCTGTAAATTGAAATTTGGGTCAAAAGGATTGATTATAGTCAGGTTAAGCATTTTTGGCAGACTTTTCATTGGTGATGCTGTTATTTCATGTTGCATCAAGTCAAGAGGACTATAAAGTCAGGTTGTCCCACCATTGGTCATGCTCAATGTGATCACTAGGTTAAGTTGGTGACTGCTGAATTTCCTTACTCTCCCTTTGTAATTAAGTAATCTATGGCGTGATATTCTGCCACTTTGCAAACATCCCCCTTTCTCCCACTTCTTTACAAGATGGGTTTTAGCTTCTATTGATGATCTTTGCCTCAATTATTGGGGACTGCACATAACGATTTTTCCAATTCTATTATTCCATCTATAGGTATTGGCCAGCATTCTCCTACAAAGAAAAAAGGCCCTTCCCTCACCCTTGATTCTGAGTATCACTCTAGACTTAGGGATTTTAATGTTTATTTATTTTTGAGAGAGAGAGAGAGAGAGAGAGAGAGAGAGAGAGAGAGAGACAGATTGAGAGAACGTGAGTGGGAGAGGTGTATAGAGAGAGGGACACAGATCCAAAGCAGGCTCCAGGCTCTGAGTTGTCAGTACAGAGTCAGATGTGGGGCTTGAACTCACCAACCATGAGATCATGACCTGAGCCGAAGTCAGATGCTTAATCAACTGAGCCACCCAGGTGCCTGACTCAGGGATTCTAAAAATGCATTCAGTGCTCTGATAATCTATCACAGTCATTATTCTGTTTAGCCCAACTTGACTCACATTTGGCCATTGGAGTCAAATTGGGTTCTATGAGCTTTTGACGTGATCTTATTAGTTTTGGGATACTTCCTCGCTTTCTGGCAAGGTGCTCTAGGCTCACCTAAATACTTTTGTACTTTCCGTGCCTGAGACCTAAAAACAGCCATTTTTCCAAGGAATGCTGTCTCTTTATGGATAAATGTATCTAGATGTCAAGATATGGGCACTCTCCACTGGGAGAAATTATATCCCTTTTTTTAAAAATTCGTATTTTTAAAAGGTTTTTAAATTTTATTTTGAGAGAAACAGAGAGAGAGAGTCAGACAGACAGACAGGTAGAGAGAGAATGAGCAAGGAAGGGGCAGAAAGAGAGAGAATCCCAAGCAGGCTCTGCACAGAGAGTGCAGAGCCTGACTTGGGGCTAGAACTCATGACCTGTGAGATCATGACCTGAGCTGAAATCAAGAGTTGGATGCCTAACCAACTGAGCCACCCAGGTACCCCTATGTATACTTCTAAGATGATATATATAATAGATATGTATAATATATATATAGATATAGATATATATAATATATATATATATATAATACATCCAAGAAGTACTTACTAAGTACTTCTAAGAAGTACTTATATACATATAATACATACTTCTAAGAAGATACATATAATAGATATGTATAATATATACAGATATATATAATATATATGTCATGTATATATAGATATATATATCAATATATCCATTATATATATATATATACATACATATATATATATATATATATATATATACATAATAGGCAAGCCAGTAGCTTGCCCTGCAGCAAATCTCCAGGCAAACATTCAAAACATCTATTATGACTAAAGAAGGCAAAGGGCACAAGCAGCTATTATGTCTATGTACATGTCTCTACTTCATCCCTTTAGGCATTTGTCAAGATAGTAAAAAATGTGAGCAAATCTGAGGCTACCTTTTGTCAGGAAGGGATGCAGTAAAAGCTAAGCTAAAGAATACAGTCTCTCAGTTAACCAACAGTTTGTTGCATACTCTTGTGCTCTGGAGTGGGTTGGTACATTTCCAAAGGCAGCTGCTATACTTTAATTTTCTTTAGTAGTGAAAGGAAATAGTTGTATATTCTAATGACAATTTGGAGTCTTCAAATGTTATCTACCTACTAAGTTTTTAAAAAAATTTTTTTTAACGTTTTTATTTATTTTTGAGACAGAGAGAGACAAAGCATGAATGGGGGAGGGTCAGAGAGAGAGGGAGACACAGAATCTGAAATAGTTTCTGTGCCCCCTAAGTTTTTTTTTTTTAATGTCTATTTTTTTAATGTCTATTTTGTCATCCCACATGGGAGAAGGGCAGAGAGAGAGGAAGAGAGAGAATCCCAAGCAGGTTTCCACACTGTCAGCGCGGAGCCTGATGAGGGGCTCCAACTCACCAACCAAAAGTTCATGACCTAAGACGAAATCAATAGTTGAACAATTAACCAGCTGAAATACCCAGGTGCTCCTACTTACTAGGTTTCAATAAAATAAATATCAGGTTTAAAGAACTAGAAGTTTTACAGACTTCAAGCTGTATTACAAAGCTGTAATCATCAAGACAGTATGGTACTGGCACAAGAATAGACACTCAAGTCAATGAAACAGAATAGAGAACCCAGAAACGGACCCACAAACATGGCCAATTAATCTTTGACAAAGCAGGAAAGAATATCCAATGGAATAAAGACAGTCTCTTTAGCAAGTGATGCTGGGAAAACTGGACAGCGACATGCAGAAAAATGAACCTGGACCACCTTCTTACACCATACACAAAAATAAACTCAAAATGGATGAAAGACCTAAATGTAAGACAGGAAGCCATCAAAATCCTCCAGGAGAAAGCAAAGACCTCTTTGACCTTGGCCGCAGCAACTTCTTACTCAACACGTTTCCGGAGGCAAGGGAAACAAAAGCAAAAATGAACTATTGGGACCTCATCAAAATAAAAACTTCTGCACGGCAAAGGAAACAATCAGCAAAACTAAAAGGCAACCGACAGAATGGGAGAAGATATTTGTAAATGACATTATCAGATAGAGGGTTGGAATCCAAAATCTATAAAGAACTTCTCAAATTCAACACCCAAAAAACAAATAATCCAGTGAAGAAATGGACAAAAGACATGAATAGAACTTCTCCAAAGAATACATCCAGATGGCCAACTGACACATGAAAAAATGCTCAACATCACTCATCATCAGGGAAATACAAATCAAAACCACAATGAGATACTACCTCACACCTGTCAGAATGACTAACATTAACAATTCAAGCAACAACAGATGTTGGTGAGGATGCAGAGAAAATGGATCTCTTTTGCACTGCTGGTGCGAATGCAAACTGGGGCAGCCACTCAGGAAAACAGTATGGAGGTTCCTCAAAAAATTAAAAATAGAACCTACAACCCAGCAATTACACTACTAGGTATTTATCCAAGGGATACAGGTGTGCTGTTTCGAAGGGGCACATGCACCCCAATGTTTATAGCAGTACTATCAACAATAGCCAAAATATGGAAAGAGCCCAAATGTCCATAGATGAATGGATAAAGAAGATGTGGTATATATATATATACAAAGGAGTATTACTCAGCAATCAAAAAGAAAGAAATCTTGCTGTTCCCAACTATGCGGATGGAAGTAGAGGGTTAATATTATGCTAAGCGAAATTAGAGAAAGACAAATATCATAGGACTTCACTCATATGAGGACTTTAAGATACAAAACAGATGAACATAAGGGAAGGGAAGCAAAAATAATATAAAAACAGGGAGGAGGACAAAAACATAAGAGACTCTTTAATATGAAGAACAAACAGAGGGTTACTGGAGGGGTTGTAGGAGGGGGATGGGTTAAATGGGTAAGGGGCATTAAGGAATCTACTCCTGAAATCATTGATGCACTATATGCTAACTTAGATATAAATTTAAAAAATAAGTTAAATAAAAATTAAAAAGAAAAAATAAAGAACTAGAAGTTTTAGATACAGCTGTTTTTGAAGAATAAACATGATCAGATTTGAATGAGAACGTTAGATAAGGAAAGTAGATTTTCACACTTCAATTGAGATGGTAATTCTGAACCCTTTCTTGAAGTATCACTCGTAGTCAAAGTTTATATTTGCTCCAGTTTTGTTTCTATTGAACCATTGTGAAAATTAAATGGGTACATGTAAAGTGCTTAGAATGACGCCTGGTACATACAACTGCTATCTCTTTGTGGGAACTAAAATTAAAACTATATTGCTCCCCCCGCCGAAATATAATCTATGTTGCACAGAGGGAGAGATTAAAAACAATACTGAAAACAAAAGCTATCAAGATGATCCAGAAATCCATATAGGACCTTATAATAAATACTTTCCTATTTTCTGATGGGGGGGGGGGTGGTTTCCATTAAGAGTTCTCTTATTTGAGAGGTTTTTACACAACTGTAAAGTTTACTTTATACTCTGGGAAGATCCTTCTGGCATTAGTTCTTAAAGTACACAATTAGAATAAAAGCAGTTGTTAAAAACTACATTATATTTTAAACAAATTTCTATTATGTTAAGGAATTACATCCTTTCTGGTCTTCCCTCTTAATTCTAGCAACACACTGCTGCCCTCTGCAGCATTTTCACTTCTTACAAATTGCCACTCAATTATCACAAATCTAGTTTCCATCTCTATAAAGGTTATCTGACTAAATAAGAGGGATATATGCCTGTGTATGTAGAGAAGAAAAGAGAAGACCCCTTCAAAAAAGCAAGAAGGCATTAAAGCAAGATGTCACAGTCCAAAAGAGCCCATCTGAGAGGAGGACCTTCTTGAACGTCTAGCAAAAGACCCCAGTTCGCCTGGGAAGGTTCCTTCCTGGCATTCATATAGCCTCTTTGTCACAGGATTTTCTTTTCTTTTTTTTTTTTTTTTTAATTTTTTTTAACATTTATTTATTTCTGAGACAGAGAGAGAGAGACAGAGCATGAACGGGGGAGGGGCAGAGAGAGAGAGGGAGACACAGAATCGGAAGCAGGCTCCAGGCTCCGAGCCATCAGACCAGAGCCCGACGCGGGGCTCGAACTCACGGACCGCAAGATCGTGACCTGGCTGAATTCGGACGCTTAACCGACTGCGCCACCCAGGCGCCCCCAGGATTTTCTTTTTAACTGGAAAAAAACAAACAAACGGTATACGTATGGAAAAAATTTTTAAAGGATAAACAGTAAAAAAGATAATCAGTGAAAATATTTGGCTTCCATTCCAAACCTCTAGATAGGTTTATGTATCCGTCTAGAAAGAGTATATATGATTAGAAACATAGACAATGCGCATTGCTTTTTAAACATAAATGCAAGTATTCACATCATTCTGCTCATCATTTAATACTGTAACTTGGAGATTGTTCCCTATCAGGCGAGATTAACCTATATACAATTTACTTTATTAAAACCAAGTAGGTTGTAACAAAATAGGTTTTAAATAAATCAACCTCTTCTCCAACAGGTTCTGCTACAATTTAATTGGCTTTTGGTAAAGCGATGGCTGTCAAATTTGGGCTGACATTGGTATCACCTGGAGCGCTTGTTAAACTAGGCTGCTGAGCCACCTCGAGATTCTGATTCAGTAGCTGTGGGATGGGTGCTGAGAATTTGCATTTGTAATAAATTACCAGGAACTAGGTTGCCGGGACCACATTTTGCGAACCAACACTAGTATAAACGCTGCACTAAACGCCGTTCCTCCCAACTCCCAGCACCACTAGTCTAAGAAGGCACACGCGATTACTCCCTCGGGAACTTAAGGAATGGCCCAAAGGCACCAACTCCTACGAAAGATAACGTCTCTCGACTCTCACAGAAATTGAGATAAGCCAGACCTACATCCGGCGCCTGGCGCGGCCCACCTACGCCATTTCCTTCCAACGAAGCTCCGCCCAGTCCGCGTCCCTAACGCCAGTAAGGCTGGGCCGCCCAGAGAACGCTGGGAATCGCGTGAGTAGGGCGACCTTTCGCGAGGCTTTCAACGTTCGCGAGATTTCACCCGCTTCTGTCTTTTCCTCCTTCCAGTCTCCAGCTTTTTTCCCTTCCCCCTCATCGCCGAGCAAGTTCTGTTTCAGATCTAGTCGCCCTGTTGTTGCCGCGGAGATTTTTTTTTTTCCTTTTGCTGCCGCCGCTGTCGCCGTCCCGACCCCTTCTTGCCGCCCTGCCCCCAACCCCACACAAGGTAAAGAACCGGGTGAGGCAGACCGCAGGGCCTCGCTAGGCCTCGGCCTCTGTCTAGTTGAAGCGGAGGCCTGAGGCCGAGGAGTGGGCCGCCCTGGAGAGGCCTGGACGCCGGCAGGGACGTTGGGAGCCCGGCCACCTCTCCCAGCCAGGGTTTTGGGCCCTGCGCTGCCCCGGGTGGGGCTCGGGCTTCGGGCCTCGGTGTCGTGGCGGCGAACGAGGCTAACCCCGGAAACCCGTCGTCGGGTGGGGTGGGGACGCGGAGGCCTCTTTAGGACGCCCTCGGCCGTTCGGTGCCGAGCGTGTTGGGCGGGGGGGGGGGGGTGAGGCTCTGGCCCCGCTGGGGTCCGCTCCGTTTGTGTTTTCGGTTTCCCTGGAGATTGTGTTTGCATGTCGAGGTCTGAAATAATGGACCAGTTGTGGCGGGCCCCGAGGTGTTGGGTGACTGGGAGGAGAGCAGGCAGGCTCGCGGTAGCCCCCTTGGAGCCCTTCCAAGCTTCCAGGCTGTCGTTGGACGGGAATCGTAAACACAGAGAAGGATCCTCGGAAACCCGGCGTGTTTGCTTTGTAAATCGAGAAAGGATTCTTTTATCTTACTTTCCGGAGAAGAATGAGCCAGATTTGGTGAAAGGCACGCTCCTTAGAATGCCTAACTGGGATAGTATTTGTGCGGTTTCTCTGATGAAGACGCTGCATCGACAGTATTTAAGTGACTGGGGTTTTTTGGGGGTTGGTTTGTTTGTTTGCTCTGGGAAGAGGTTCTAAACACGCTAACTGAAGAGCTCGTGTACAGAGAATTTTTTATGTAGTTAATCCAAAAGCTATTTGTATTTTGTTCTGGAAGTTTTCTCTAGTGCTTCAAAATATTTTTGTTGGCAGTCTTTGACTCTTCCAACCGATTAGTGCTGCCCCCCCCCTTTTTTTTTGGTGAAGATGTAACAACTCCGCCAAATACAGTGTCTTCCTTGTTAACACAAGTTTAAAAAATAGAAATTCTCTTTTTCCCTTTTATCTTAGCTCTTATTTTCTGTTTCTGTGTGGAATTTATCTGACAAGTTTATACTCTGCAGAATTCATTGCCTTGATGTTTGGGTTTGGCTCACAGCTTTTCTCAGAACTAAGTGTAAAGGTAATGGTGAGGAGCTGCAGCAATGACTTCTATGAAGGAGTTGGGAGCAAAACTGGTAAAGATTAAGTCAGGCAGACAGGGAAGTTATTTTTTATGGTGTTTTTTGTTCAGTTTTCATGGTCTTACCCTTTTTATTTTCCCTAGATGTCAGAGGATCTAGCAAAACAGCTGGCAAGCTACAAAGCTCAACTCCAGCAAGTTGAAGCTGCATTGTCTGGAAATGGAGAAAATGAAGATTTGCTGAAATTAAAGAAAGATTTACAAGTAAGTATCAGAGGACGCTAATAGTTATATTGTTTTGAAAAAAAAGTATTTGTGTTTTTCAGATGATTTCTTGCATAGAATCCAAAGCACAATTCGGAGTGTTTCTCCCGCTATCCTCCCTTGTGTGTAAACGTGTATATGCACATAGGTGTATATTGCTCACAGAAGTAGGGTTGCCGCTTCCTCAGTTGTGTACATCGAAATGAGTAAAGCATTGTTCTTTGTTGTGTAAATTTCATATGCTCATATAATTTTTTAAAAATCAGAGTTGATTTAACTTTACAGTGGAAAGTACTTTTATTTTTAAAGATCTGGCAAAAGAAATTTAGTTCCAAAGGTAACTAAAAGAACAAAAATAATATGGAATTAAAAATGTTAATTGTACTGGAATGAAAACAGATGTGGAAGAATTTTATAAATGACTAAAAAAATGAGAAAAATGTAACATGATTAGGGTTCTTTTTAATGTCACAAGGTTCTTGAACATGAAATAAGAGTGTGTGTGTGTTTCAAAGCTAGCAGGTAAACACCTTATATTGAAAACACATTATAAAAATATTTAAGGAGATACTTGTTTTCTGCATAAATGTTACATAATGTTTGAATTTAAGGGTAGATTTTACAGTGTAGTTGTTGGCGCTTGTTGAGGTTAAATTGATGTGGAAAGGAGATCTTAATTTGTTTTGTCATGGAAGAGTTCTGTAGGTATGAAACTTGCTTTTTAAAATTTGCACTGGGGTTTCAAGACAGACAAAACCATTATAGTAAATATCTGTTGTTTCTTAGAACATTATGTTGATTAATAAAAATACTGTATGTACACGTGTATTACTTCATTTTTAAAAATTTTGAGAACTTAAAATTTTGAACCTGATTATTTTGAAAATTTTAAAAGGTATTTTGGTTAGATGGTCTTTACTGATTCAGTACAAAACTTGAATCATCTTTATCCTATCTAAATTCTTTCCCTCTATCATCCTCTTGCCCATTAACATTAATATTTTAGGGATATTAGAACTGCAAATGAATGAAACTTATTTGAAATGGTGTCCAGATACAGGACTTTGAAAGGATTTATCTGGACATAATTAAAATGAGTTGAATATTTTCAGGTTTAAGTTGTAGATTTAGGATAAACTTGCCTGAGTTGCAATAGTATGTGGTTTTTAAAAACACGGAAAACAAGACCCATCTTCAGTATGTAGAAGTCAGGCCACTGAATTTCAGAGTGCCAGTCAATAATAAAAAGATGTTTTGGGAGCAGTTTCTCCCATTCCTAGGCCAGCTTTCTGCTTGCTTCAAAGAAGGATCCTGGCATGCATCTTGTTTTACCAACTTAAAAGCAGTCCTTTTTTTCTTTGAAGAAAATAAACCATTGTCAATATTGTGTATATTGCTTCCTGGGCAGTTGGAGGAGGGATATATGTGGAACTGGTGGAGGGGGAGTTGGGAGTGAAGGTTGAAACAACATTATTGTGAGGTCTTTTTAATGTTTCTGGAATGAATTGTCAGGGTCCAGGCAGAATTGCCTTGCTATGACATGATCTATAGTGGAAGTATTATAGGTAGAGAGGCATTGTGGTAAGCACATAAATGGCTTATTTAGGGTTCAGTTAGTAATGGTTATTTATCCGTAAAATACCCATTTAGAACAGCACTGTTTACAGTAGAACTTTCTGTGATGATGGAAACGTTCTATATCTACTGTAGTACTGGAGCCACTAGGGACAATTAAATATTTGAACTGTAGCTAGGATAGCTGAAGAACTGAATTCTTAATTTTATTTTAGTAGCCACATGTGAGTACCATATTGGATAGCACAGATTTAGAAGCTTAAGTTCTAAAATTTCAGATAGTAGTAATATAGTACGTTTTTCCTGACCAGACGTGATCACGATTTCTTTCGCTCTTATTTTGTCATGAAAACAAATTTTTCATTTTGGTTTACTAGATACAGGTCTGTTTTGAACTGAAAATTACTCAGAGATGGAAGGCATCATTGAAGATTAAAGTTCTGAAAAGTGTTTACATATCTGCTTCCACCTAGTAATTGTCTCCACTGACTATAGTTATAGCTTCTGTTTTGTCGTGGGTTTTTTAAAAATAATTTTCCTTTTTTTCTCTTCTCTGTTTTCTGGGATATACCTCATACCTTGGATATTTAATTCTGCCTTTTATATTTGCTGAAAAGTTGTTCAGACTGATGACTGAGTTTGTGGCCTTCTTTATTTTGTGTTCCTTTAGTGGAATGTCTTTATCCTCGTTTTGAATTTGTTTCCCCTTTCATTTATGACAAAGTGCTTTCCTACATTTTTTCATTGACTTCATTTTGCCAGTAAGGCTTCCACATTTATATGTACTGTCTTTCATATAGAATACAGTTACTCAGCAGGCAGCACATTAATCTACTGAAGTCCTAATTGCCTTTTTTCACTTAAAAAAGTAGGTATAGTAAAATCTAGGCTAGCTTTTACTAGCTCCCGAGGCAGTCTGTGATAATCACAAAAATAGTCAATTTATTAGGCTGTTTTGCTGAATAAACTGGTTCTAAAGGAGGCAGGGGTCAAGTCACTTGTCTCATATATTACAGTGGCTCTCTGCATCCCCGAAACGCCTTCCTTCAGTAAGCAGAGTGCTTGAGTGCACCCTTTGACCTGCTGATATGTAGATCACAACATCTGATGCTTCCTGGAATTGCCGATTACTGTAACTGCTGCCCATCTGTCAATGAAGGAGCAGTTTCAGAACTCAGACTTGGGGGAGGAAAAGTAATTAATGGTATGTACCTTTAAGAACCCCCTCATACATAAAATAGTTTCTCTAATACTTTGGTCCATATGCACATGTAAAGAAAACATTGAAAGGGTCTTCATAGTTTGTTGGGAGGGGTATGTAAAACATGGCAAAATGAAAGGACAACTAGGGATAAGCCCTGGATTTTTTTTAAAGTGTCACTTCAGTGCAGGGCTCTGAAAATTATTGTAACATGCACAGCTTTTCAGGACCCTTTGGTGAAACTGTAATTTCCTTAGGAAAATAAAATGGCAAGATGCTTTGTCTTAAGAGAGGTAGAATCTAAATCAGAGACCTACAAATGCAGAAATCATGTTTGTGTTTTAGTTAAATGGAATTATTTAATGATAAGGATTGTATTGGCTCTTGAGTCAAGGATTATATTCCTGGCCTTAATAGTAATTGATTAAAAACAAGACTGGACAGTTTATTCTTCTTTGTATAGTACCTGATCTATTTATTTGGAAATTCTTTGCCTTATTTGCAAAGGATTATCTAATTAAAAGGCATTTGAATGGCTATTTGGTACCTAATAAAATGTCATTTAAGATACTATACTGAATTTTTAATTCAAATCTGAGTTAGCCTAGTTTTTCTATTTACAAAACAGGCCTTTCTCCAAGGGCTTACTCCCCCCCCCCCTTTTTTTTGAAGGCTCAAATATTAGTTTTTCAGAAATAGCCAGGAAGATTTAGAATCTTTAGGAAAGAGGTAATCTATAACTTCTTGGCTACTGAACCAGAGCTACTATTATAAAACTTCAGTGGGAGACATAAACTCAGTATAGAGTTTAACTTTGCTACTTTTTCTCCCAAAACACTGTGATGTTTTAAGGTATTTTATATGCAACAGTGGGGGAACAGGTATGTGAGTTTTTAAAATAAATCACATAAGGTAATACATAACATAGATCTTCATTGGAGTGAAAAAAGCAGATAGGTAGCAAAATCTGGCCATTTGTACTATATCTTTTAAGTTTTTTAACTAACCCTACCAAACACCCTTGAATGAAGCCAATAAGTGTAAGCCTGAAATAGAGAAAATATTTGCCACACAGGCAGGTATTGCCTGCCTATGTGTGTTACATTTATTTTTTCCTTTTAAATGAAGCTGTGCTAATGTGCTTTTTAGAATATTTTAAATCTGACGTGGTAATTTGCTTATCTGGATGGGGTAAGTTTTATAATAAGTGACTAGGAAGACTACTGGCTTTTTCTGTATGCCTATAATACTTTAGTAGAAATATGTATTACTAATAAGGTTGCTTCAAGTGTTTTGGGTTTGGTTTTTCTTTTTTGATGGGGGTGGGGAACATGTTGGCTAGAGAGTTAATACTACTGCCAATAATGCCCTGTAAAAAAATCCATTTGCATGAAATACATGTGACAAAGATAGAAGATAAAAGTGATCTTGAATCTAGTTCAGTCCCTCATAATTGATTGTTTCTCATATTAGATCTCTTTAGCTAAAACAGGCACTTAGAGATAATGCCATGGTAGGGGCACCTTGCTGGCTTAGTCAGTAGAACAAGCGACTCCTGATAATAGGGTCAGGAGTTCAAACCCCATGTTGGGTGTAGAGCTTACTTAAAAAAAGAAAGAGAAAGAGAGAGGAAGAAAGAAAGGAAGAATGGTATAAGCTCAAGTCTGCTGCTTTCTGTTAGTATTTGAGGTTAATTGAAAGGCAACTGTGGGTTTAAATCCCAGTTCCACCACTGTATAAAATATTGTATCTTAGTTTCTACATGAGGATAATCATAGTACCTACATCATAGTATCGTTATGAACTGCAAGTAGATTTATGTAGTGTACTTAATAAGTGCTTTATGGTGGAGAGTTAAAGTCATCAAAATAAAAACCTGTTGAAAGGTGATAAGCAAATTATAAAAATAATGCTATGGTTTTTGTTTTTTCTTTTTAGGAAGTTATAGAACTAACCAAAGACCTTCTGTCAACTCAGCCTTCTGAAACTCTTGCAAGTTCAGACAGTTTTGCTTCTACTCAGCCCACACATTCATGGAAAGTAGGAGACAAGTGTATGGCAATCTGGAGTGAAGATGGACAGTAAGTGTAGAAAAAAACTCTAACTATAACATGAAATAATAAAATACAATGGTAAGAAGTTTTTATTCAGTTTGAACTACCCTGTTTTAATCTTTCTGTATAGCCAATATGAATTGTAAAGTCAATTTGATTCTTGGGTGGTTACCACTATAATACAGTTTAGTTTTTAGCTTTAGAATAAATTTTGGGGCAGTTGGTGGGCTTGGATCCTAGAGGACAGAAAAATCAAAGCAGAGGAAAATGAATGGATAGTTAAAAAATAATCCTAATTTCTTCCTCAGATTGAAAATTGAGTGAATGGTTGGCTATCTTAGACTTACGTGAAGCACATACACTGAAGTTATTCCTATAAAAAATATCTTTTCTCAAAGAGATAGACTAAAGCACATTTAATAGACATGTAGGAGACTTTCCTGACAATATTTTGATTAGGAACCCCCCTTTTTTTTTTTGATAGTAGATGGCTAACTCCAACTACTGTTTGTATTATCTTTACCAAAGAGCCAACTGATTACAGAAGTTCCATTTTAGACACATGTAATAGTTGAATCACTGCAGTGTAAGTCTTATAGGTTGAGTACTAAACCTTTACTCACCTGCTTACAGTCATGATATCTTTACAGGTGTTATGAAGCCGAGATTGAGGAGATAGATGAAGAAAATGGCACCGCTGCAATCACCTTTGCTGGCTATGGCAATGCTGAAGTGACTCCACTGTTGAACCTCAAACCTGTAGAAGAAGGAAGGAAGGCAAAGGAGGACAGTGGCAACAAGCCCATGTCAAAGTAAGTGACTTTGACTTTAGCAGTTTAAATGTAATCTTCCCCATTTTGGTATTTGAGGCAGTCTGTGGAATTCACGCAGGCTAGATTAGGGTGAGCATGTTAAAATAACTCCTTATCGTTGTTTTGAAGATTAGCTGTATAGGGTCAGCATTGTATGTGTATACCTAGGTAAAGTGAAGACATTTTGGTTCCCACTTAGGCATTCAGTAAACATTTCTTAAGAAGATTATATGTACCTCTCACTGAACCATGTGCTGGAGTTATACCATAGTGAAGACAACCAACTTGGACCTTGTCCTGATTGAGTTTATAGTCTAGAGAAGAAAACACAAAATTAAAGGAGAATTTTAATAGTAAATTATAGAAGTTACTAAGGGAACATAATGGGTACTTTAAGGGAACAGAGGAAAGATACCTAAACTGTATTTTAGTCATCTCTGAGAAAATGACATCTAAACTGAGATTTGAAAAGAAAAGGAGTTAGCTAGGTAATGAACTTGAAGGTATGACCTTGGGCAAACTTTTTAACTTCTTTCCTCATTTGTAAAACAGGGTTGATAGTATCTATTTCCTAGGGTTCTAAGGATTAAGTGTTAGCATTAATAAAGCATGTGGTACAGTTCTTGATAATGTAAGAGTTTAGTAAATGTTTACTTAAAACAAGGTGGGAACATAGAGGTAACGGAAACAAATTCCTATAGTGAAAATAGGGCTTGAAGATGGGTGGTTTGACAAGAGCTTAGAGGTTGAGGCCAAATCACAAAGAGCTTGACAGCCACTGATGTATTTCAAATAGAGGAGATAATATGATCATAGTTGAGCTTTCAAATAATCCCTGACAGCCGAGGGAAAGCAGCTAGTGCAGTGATCAGGTGTCCTGAACTCAGGGAGCAGCAGTGGGAGGATAGAGAAGTGTATGGCTTGACCTGTATATGAGGTAGAATCAACATTTTAATAAACTTACATTTTCCAAGTTTTCGCTTTCTGGATTTTTCAACAGTTTTGTTGTTTTAAGTAGGCTCCATGACCAGCATGGAGCAACGTGAGGCTTGAACTCAGGGCCCTGAAATTTAAGACCTGGGTTGGACACTTAACCAACTGAGCCACCCAGGCGCCCCTCAAGACTTTAAAAAGTTGCTACATAAGTAAATATATTTGAGCTTGGGGAAACTAGATCACCTAAGTATCCCAATAAGAAAATCAGACTGTAGGGGCGCCTGGGTGGCTCATTCAGTTAAACGTCCAACTTCAGCTTAGGTCATGATCTTGTGGTTTGTGGGTTCGAGCCCTGCATCGGCCTCTGTGCTGACAGCTCAGAGCCTGGAGCCTGCTTGGGTTGCTGTCTCTCTCTGCCCCTTCCCCACTCATACTCTCTTTCTCTCTCTCCCAAAAATAAACATTAAAAAAAAAGTAAAAAATCAGACCGTAGAACAGTGTAACATCACTCTATTTTTAGTCTTTGACATCTGTGTAAAAAAGCCACCCTTAGCTTCATAGTGATGATTACATGATACAAAGACCTCTAGATTGTATTGCCTCTTTTTTAAAGACCTCATCATCCTGTTGGTGAGAAGTCAGTATGTAAACTGAGCAGAAATTATTGAGAGAGCTTTAGGCTCTGATCCTAGATAGAGGAGTGTTTTTGAAAACCCCAGTTTTTGTTTTTAAGAGTTTTAAGCTGTGATTTTCCTTTGTTCTGTACTCTTCTAGTCTAGATGAAATAGTTTTATCTGCATTGCATCTCTATATAGTTTTGCAAAATGCAGCATAAAGTTGCTATCCATTTAGAAAAGGATAAAGGTTTAGACCTCTATTAACATTAAAACTCATTCTAAAACACATCTGGCAAAAGTGATGTAAATGTCAGAAAGTCCTAGTTTAAATATTTGATTTGAATGGGTAATAGATTATAGATATGGTTTGAAAGCTTCCAAGGATGCTGTGTATCTCAAATAACCTTACGTAGTAATACTGGGTGATTGGCACTGTTGATGTTTAGTGCTTCTATTCATGGAATGTGTAGGTTTGTTACGGGTTTTTGTTGTTGTTGTTCTGGGGTTTTGTTTTTGTTTTTTGCACTGCTAAATATCTCTAAAGAAATCATCTATTAAATCTTAAGAGTTGACATTTAGCTGTTATATCCACACAGAAAAGAAATGATTGCCCAGCAGCGTGAATATAAAAAGAAGAAAGCTTTGAAAAAAGCACAGAGAATAAAAGAACTTGAGCAGGAAAGAGAGGACCAGAAGGTGAAATGGCAACAGTTTAACAATAGAGCCTATTCTAAAAACAAAAAAGGCCAGGTTAGTAAATCCTTTCATCATACTTCATAAACTTGAAAAGTGTAACTGTCATTAAAATAACTTTAAAATGAAAAAGGTGGGGGGGGGGGTGTGCACCTGGGGTGGCTCAGTCAGTTAAGCATCCAACTTCGGCTCAGGTAATGATCTCACAGTTTGTGGGTTCGAGCCCTGCGTCAGGCTGTGTGCTGACAGCTTGGAACCTGGAGCCTGCTTCAGATTCTGTCTCCCCCCCTCTCTCTCTCTCTGCCCTTCCCCCACTCATGCTCTGTCTCTCTCTCTCTCTCTCTCTCTCTCTCTCTCTCAAAAATAAATAAACATTAAAAAATAAATGAAAAAATGTGGTACATAGGTTCAAAAGATCATAGCTGGGTCTTGTTATCATAATCCTCTTCAATCTTCCATTTGGCTTATTGCAAAATATCTCCATTAGCCATGGTCTCTGCAATAGAAACACTATGAGAGAGTTTATATCAGGAATTACAAAAGATCTAGATTGTTTACCCTTCTATAAATTAAAATTTGAAAAACTGGTACCTAACATACCCTTAGAGGGAGTGTGGTGAATCCTACCTGTTTGTTAACCTGCTTTATATGCTGGGGATCTCTGGTAGATTTTATTTAAAAGAGCACTCCAGTTCTCTTGATGTACTTAAGTGTATCATAGAAATTTTGTTCCCCCAAAACTAATCAAAATGGTTTCTGTTTTATTTCCACTAGGTTAAAAGGAGTATTTTTGCTTCACCTGAAAGTGTAACCGGCAAAGTTGGAGTAGGAACTTGTGGAATTGCTGATAAACCTATGACACAATATCAAGATACCTCTAAATACAATGTCAGGCATTTGATGCCTCAATAATCAGAAAAACTGTTGGATTTCATCTCTGCAGGGCTTTACATTTACCTTTTTATCCTTATATTTTTCTAAAGGTAAATTATTTGTTAGATGAGTAAGGAAGATACCATTGTCGTCCTTGTTTGACTTCAATAGAATGAAACTTGAAGAAATTGCATTTGATAACTGCTATTCATTTAACTTTTGTTACTACTACCACAGTTTCCTCAAAGTTTGTTGAATAAAGCAACTTTTCTAGATAGATGCTGCATAAATACAGCACTTAGATGAATTGTTGATCTTCCTAATATCAGGCCCTTACTTAATGGATGGTGTATACATTTTGTGAAGTCCTAACTTGGAATACTCAGATCTTTGAACTTGCCACATATTGTAGCAATTCACTGGAACATCAAGGCAAAATACCAACCTGTTAAAGAGCTCTTTTATCTTCAACGTAAACCTAGCTATTGCCTAATTAAGCCTAGAAATATGTTAATTTGTAAATGGCAAACTTTGTTTTGAGGTTTTTCCTTCAATAATTTGTTTGCTAAGCCTATTAGGCTATCTCTAAAAATTGATTCAGCTTTTACATTCTTTCCGCTGAGTTTTAATTTTATGTAGTAAGAAACCATGTTTAGGACCTGCTACCTTTTCTAAGGTGGTGTTTTTTTTTTTAATATTTGCTCTTTTCCTGTGTTGATTTTTCCCTTATGGTAGTGGTACCATTTTTTGGATGTGTAATGTTTATATAAGAAAACAAAAAGCTGATGTATAGCCCTGTATACAGTGTAGATACTATTTTTGTAAAAAAACAAAAAACAAAAAAACCAAGGCTAAATTAATGAACAAGAATACTGAATGTTTCATCATTAAAAATTTACTGTATTTCTTGTGCATTAATCTGACCATAATTTCCCTGTATATTATGTTCATGTAGCTGAGTTTGTAATTTTTGTTAACTAGATCAAGTTGTCAGCATTTGTTGGTTTAAGTGAACATCACAGTTATCCTGAGTTGAGTTTAAGCCAAATATATGCATAGTAAAATGTCTTCCTATTACTGGAAGATGGTGATTTTTAGGATATGTGTTAATTTCAGTTTTTTGTATGTTTAACTTTTATTAAATAAAGTGTTTTTAAAATCTCCAGGATGTGTTAACAGAAGGGTGGTGAAGTCCTAGCTGGCAGCATTGATCTAGTGATTAAGCTTCAGTGTACATGCATTCATCATTTCCACAGAAAAGAGAATATTGAGTGTGTGATAAAGGTTTCAATAAATCCTTACGTACTTCTTCCATTAGATACAAGACATTGGATCCTAAAGGACAAACTATTTTTATTTTAAGGGTTTGTGCTGTGTATAGAGGTGTTTGTAAATTTTTGGTAAGGGGGAAAATAAAAATTTTAATTTAATGAATTTTAATTATTTTGGCAAATTGAAACTTAGGAGGACAGTGGTGAGAAGTAGAATTCTTTATATTGCCCCTTCTCCTCCCTCCCAACCCAGGAGGATCACTGTTTTCCTTTCTATAATTTATGGCCACAGGGTAGAATTTGTAGGACAGAATGAAAGGTGAAGTCTTTCTTAAATACATGGCACAAATTACAACAGAAAGGGGCTACTTAGCCTGAAGAACTCCTAAAAATACACTGTTCTTGTAACCGGTGTGACAAGCATCTTAAGAACTAATAATGGTATCTTTGAAGGATTGCAAGGAAACTCTAAAAAGCACTTGGAAGGAAATTTGGTATAATTGTGTCACCAACACAAAATGGATTTTGGTGAGATTACCTTGGCATGTTTGTTGGAATAGTAATTTCACCTGGTGTTTGTGTAGGCAAGACTCTTGTGTTGAGACTTGTATCTCCTTTGACCCAAAGAGTCACATTTAATTTCTGCACATTTAATTCTGGAGGGGCTTTGCAGGAGAGAAAAGGAATAAAGGTGACCATACTATATAAAACATTAAAAAAAAAAAAATGTATAGCACAGGAGTCTTTGTGTCAAAGACCTAGATATGGCCCTTTGAAAAGTCCTGGTGTCAAGATGATAACAGTGTTTCTGGACTAAACTAAAAGGATCCCTAGGGACATGGAGTACCTGTCTCCTAGTGTGAGGTTTTAATGAGAAGCATGATACCAGTGGTATTTTACAAATGAAGGTGGCTAAGTTCAATACTCTTAAAATCAAATATGACACTGTCTTATGGAGCTCTGTTATAAAATGTAATTTCCCCTCTGTCAAGAAAGGAGTCTTGAAGCTCTGATGAAACTGAATAAACCATTTGTCATGTACAGCCCCCAAATAGCTGTCATGGATCTTCTCAAAACTTGACATTTGACTTTGTTATTGACTATTTCAAGGAAAGAACAGTCCCAACCCCCTCCCCCCCAAAAAACCCAAATAATTACATTTAAAATTTTAATGTCACAGATAACAAATGCTTTTTATTTATTTTTTTTAATTTTTTTTTTCAACGTTTATTTATTTTTGGGACAGAGAGCGAGCATGAACGGGGGAGGAGCAGAGAGAGAGGGAGACACAGAATCGGAAACAGGCTCCAGGCTCCGAGCCATCAGCCCAGAGCCCGACGCGGGGCTCGAACTCACGGAGCGCGAGATCGTGACCTGGCTGAAGTCGGACGCTTAACCAACTGCGCCACCCAGGCGCCCCAACAAATGCTTTAATTAACATGTAGAAAGGCCATAGAGGACTCAGGAGCCAGACTGCTGATTGAATCCTGGCCCATTTGTAACCTGTGTGCATAACTCTTCTTTGCCTTAGTTTTCTCAGCTGTAGAATGAGAGTGTGTTTCATTAGGTTGTAAGGATGAGTGAGTTAATATGTGTAAAGTGCTTAGAATACCTGACATATGGTAAACACTGTAGAAGTGTTTGCTATTACTGTGCAAGCAGTAATGGTGAAGATCGTTTTTTTCTAACCTTAACAATGACAATTCAGGGGCACCTGGTTGGCTCGGTTAAGCATCCGAGTCTTGATTTCAGCTTCGGTCGTGATCTCATGGTTCAAGCTCTGCAGTCAGGCTCCACACTCACAGCTTAAGTCTGCTTGGGATTCTCTCTCCCTCTCTGCCCCTCCCACCCTCTAAATAATAAATATTTTTAAAAAAATTCACATTATAATGGATTATAATGCCCATTACTTATAATTTGAAGCCTTGAGTTACAAATGTATTACTGAAGTGCTATCAAATTACCAAAGTTCTATATTAAGTACATGCTATAGAAGTTTTTGTGTTAGAATATTTTAGCACAAATCTGTAAGGGGAAGAGGTTACAAGTTTATAATAGTTACCTCTAATGCTTGCTTAAAATTAGAGGAATTCCTGGATCTGGGTCCTATTCCAGAGCTATTTAGGCCAAAGTATATCTGTTTTGAGACAAACACCACAGGTGATTCTGGTGTGCATCCCTGGCCTATAACCACATTTTACGTTAAATGTAAAGTTTGATTTTTGAAATGAAGGAAAAGTTACATTAGTAACTGGCAATTTTCTGAAGATTAGGCATCAAACCAAAATGAAGTGCATTCATTTATTATAACTCCTATTTTAAATGCTCTGTCACAATGAAGGGTGTGCATGTGTGTATGTGCACAGGGTATGTTTCCATTACAATGCAGTTTTAATGCTGAGTGAATCTGCCTTTAAAATTGCAAGGGGGATGGTGCCTGGCTGGCTCAGTCTATTAAGTGTCCAGACTGGGTTTTGGCTCAGGTCATGATCTCATGGTTCCTGGGTTTGGGTCCTTGTAAGGTATCTGCGCTGACAGAACAGAGCCGGCTTGAGATCTGTCCCCCTCCCCCACCTCCACCCCCCACACTCATGTGTGCTCACTCTCACCCTCTCAAAATAAATGAACTTTAAAAAAAAGTAAGGGAAAACTGTCAGGTTAACCAACAAAAATCATAGTTTTATAAATCATGTGTCTGTAGGTTGTAATTACAAAAGGTGAAAAACCTCACTTCTGCAAGTTTAACCAAAAAATATTTTTAAAGCTCTGGTTTGGCTTTTTGCCTCAACTTGGATATTAACTGAAAGATGAAGAGGGGAAAAAAAATCTTAAAACTGGTTTTTATATTTGTTAAAATCTTTAAAGAGTTCAATAAATATCTGCTAGATCATAATATTTGTATTTTACTATGAAGCAACCAGTTACTATAAATGGGAATTTACCTGTTCAACAGTAAATGTAAACATGCTTTATATCTAGGATTTTTGAGTTGCAAGTTAAACTGAATTTTTACTATAGTGGAGAGGAAGAGCATAGCAGACAATGTAACAGGTAATACCACAGTTTAAACACAAACCCAAGTAATTGAATCCCCTAATACTGTGTGTGTACAGACATGTTCTTAAAAAAATACCTTAAGAGGCACAGAGACCAATATTGACATTCTAAGAATTTGTTTTGGACTAGCCAAAAGAAAGTAGTAAAAGAAAACAAGATGAAGGTGTTAAGAGTTCTGTGAGGTTCTTCAATTGCCTTTTCTGCCTTTCAGCTTATGTATATATAAAAGTGGTTCTTTTGTGGACTTGAGGGGGTAAAGAAGATCTGAAAATAATACTGGGCCTTTGGTAGTTGACAGCTGAACTAGCTAAAAATACCGAATTCTGGATAAAGTAATCTTCTAGTTCTTAGGAAATAAAAATTGACAATTTACTTACACCAAGCATTTCACCAATTCATTTTTACAAAACCAGTACAGACTCCAGCTACTGCAATTACAATGTAATTTGTTTTCCCAGTTATTTAAGATCACAGCTAAAGAAGCCTTAGTTAACACGCATTAGGAGAAAAGGTTGCTTTTTGTTTGAAGAGCTACTGTGTCAACCTGAGGCCCAAAGTCGTTATTTATTATTTTGCTGGCTCATGATTTCCTTTTCTTGGTGAAACTGGATGTGCTTTTATTTTTTCCCCTTTCAAGCCCTGAACTGACTTTAGCAAGATGCGATGCATTTCTAACCAAAGAAAGAATTCAGGCTTGGAGGAAACACTTGATTCTATATCCTGGGAAAACTACAGTTGAAGCCTGAGACCTGCAGCTAGGCTAGTCTTTAATAGATGGTAATTGCCCAATTGTTCATTCATTGCTCAGAAGTATGCAGGAAGGAGTAAATATCCCTTTGGTTCTTTTGCCAAGTTTTTCCTTCCAAAAAAGCACTGTCAGGTTTAGTTGACATAGCTTTCAGAGTGTGATAGTGCTAATTTAGAAGCAACTGGCCTCTTAAATCTGTATTTTTGACATATATTTTAGAGATATTTTATGGCTTTTACATTCTACAATGCTGTCTGATGCCCTGATGTGAAAATCTAAGATAAATATGGCAGTTATTGCCCTACCAGTAAAGACTTGAAGCATTCCCTCCATAACAAAGAGTTAAGAGCTTGAGGAAATGGAAAAAATTTCAAAATTATAGGAAGTTACTTGGCAATACTTTAAAAGAGCTTCATCTAAGCCATTTCCCCTAACAATTTATGACTGTATAGAAAGGTAAAACAGAACCAAGAAGTGAGGTTGTCAGCCAGTACATGTATCTTGAGCTACACTTATTATTTAAAAGACTCAGATGTATTCCACAAGAAAACCAGTTTCCTATTAGATCTAGTACATGAGCCAAGATTTTTTTTCTTGGCAAGGCCAACACTAAATATTAACTAGGGCATTATGCAATGGTTACTATTAGTGTTTAACATACTCAAGCTCAGGTTAGTCTTTTTTTAGAAAGACCAGGTAATCACTAAAACCGCTGATACATCAATCTTATAAAGTCTTTATTTAAAAAATTCTATAGGACATCAAAATTGACTTCTTACAAAGTATAGCCTGTCATGGAATTTTGTGAAAATGAACCATTTTATTTAATAGAAATAGTCTTTTTCTGTAAGACCCAGAGTCAGAATAACTAAAATTCAAGATTAAAGATGAAAAAATTAGAAGGTTGCATTAATCAGAGAAAGCTGAGAAGTACATACCTCTTACTTTCCTTTTGGTGCTACAAACTCCTAGACTGAGTCTTACAATCTTTCAAGATAGAGGTAGTATTTACAACAACTTTTCAGGAGGAAACAGGCTCCATGAAGAAATTAAGTAACTTGCCCAGAGTCCTTAGCAAATATTAGAACTGAGATTTAAATGTGACCCAAAAAACCCTATTCTTCCCACATTATGCTGTTGTTGGTAGGAAGTATGGAATTTTTGAGGTGGAAGGATAATGAAAGAAGAAAGGGAAAAGGCAGCTAGTTGCTTCAAGTGGAAGAAAACAAACTTCGCAAAGAAACTTACCTAAGAGGTTAAACAATTTTCTCATGAGAAATGACCCAGGAAGTAGTGTGGCCTTAGGTTAGAAGATTTGCCTCAATAATCCTGCCTTTTGAAATCCCTTCATAATGCTAAAAGCTATCACTGTCATGGGGACTGGAAAAGGCATTTCTACCAAAATTCTCATACCTATTCTAATCAGAAACTAGTTTGACTTCATCAGAATCTTCTTTGGTAACAAATATGCACTGAAACAGGACTTTACCTCTATCTATTAATATATTACTTAGGCATTTTACACAAAGGGTACTTTAACTCAGGTTAGTGGGTGGGGACTAAATAACTTCCAGACTTATTTTCAATTTAAATGACAGTACAAAGTGATTCCTCTAAAAAGTTATTAAGAACGGATAATAACAAATGGCTTTGTGTCCTACCTGAAGCAGTTAAGATTATCGGGTACATTAAACCATCTGCAGTTAGGTTACATGGAGTTATCACATCAGTCAAGAAGGCACCTGTTTAAATTACAGAACAGGAAATGGCAATGATTCAAATTGCCATTAATTCTGGACTACTGAAGTAGTATCAGCTTAGGAGATAGTTGCTTTTCAAGGTGTGGATGCTCATTCATATTTTTTCCTTCATAGAGAAGGGTGTACAAAAAGCACTCAGGTGTTCTTCATTCACAATTTTTATTTCTTGCAATTAACTTTTATATCTTCAAAGTCGATTTGTCTTTTAAAAAATTAATACTTTTCACTCATCATACAATCCATTCCCCTCCCGCAAGGAAAACAAACCCGGGGAAGGAGTAATTTAGGGGGCAGTTGAAATAGGTATTATAAATTCGTGACAAAGGCTTCCCAGCCCACCAACTTGTACATATACAACAAAGTGGCAGCACCTCAAGTTCTCCTGAATGAAGACCGAAATTCCAGCCCTAGGCAAGTGATGTAAGTGAATGCCATGGGAGTAACAAAATGGAAGCTGAATCACTGGCTTCCATTTTCTT